AAAGATGGGAATGTGCCAAATCAAATAGACTTTGCTTCCGTTGTCTTGACAATTCCCATATTGCCTCGAAATGTCCTACGACACAAAAGTGTGGCGTCGATGGATGTAATAGGACTCACAGTCATGGAGGGGGGTTTAGACCAGACTCTTATGTAAATGTTTATAGAAATGACAATTGCAGAAGTGAAGTTCAACCAATTAGAATTAAGTGGCCATTGTGCTCGCTTAAGGTGGGTGTTTAAGGAGGTAAAACAACCCCCATATACCTAGTCGTGTCAAATTGCTTATTAAGACTGTTGATGGTAGAAAACGTTTTGTCGATGCATACACTGTAGACAATGTGAACGGTGACCTGACAGTCATCGATTGGAATAAGTACTCTCCGAATTGACCACATTTGGACGGAATTGAATTCCCTCAAGTTGGACGTAATCCCCGTGTAAGAATCCTTCTTGGCCTTAATGTCCCTGAAGTCTATTGTTGTATTACTGAAGTTTATGGTAAACCTGGGGAACCCGTAGCCCGTCTGACGCCTCTTGGTTGGACATGTACTGGACCTTATGATCCCCTTATTACGCCTACCACAGGACAAAGTCACTTTGCAAGGGCATTTTTCGTTCAGGAAGACAGTGAAAGAAACATACTTATTTGTAGGATGTGGGAGCTAGAAACTAAGGGGGTCACATCGCCTCATACTGAAACCGATACTCCTATAGAGAAGACAATTGACTGTTCAGTTCCTGGCGAGCCCCAACTTGTTAACAACTATGACATGGCAAATCAAGATTACTGAATCTGGAAAAGTCCCTAATAAAACGACCCAATATTGGCGAAGCTTACAAACATTTGATTGATGACCATTTGGCAAAATCCTATGTGCAGGAAATAGTTCCACCAGAGCGATGTGCTGACAATATTTGGTATTTGCCCCATTTCCCAGTTATTAGGCCAGATAAGTCCACAACAAAAGTTTGTATAGTTATGGATGCCGCAGCACGCTATAATCAGAAATAATTGAATGATTGCATTCATGCAGGTCCTAAATTGCAACAGGAGTTATTTGATGTATTAGTTCGCCTCCGTAGCGGAGCAGTCGCGATTGCAGCCGATATCACGGAAATGTTTTTACAAGTAAATATGACTCCATTTAATCATAGAATCACAGATTTCTTTGGCGAGATTTAGACACAAATTCACCTATTCGAGAGTACGAATATCAAAGATTGGTTTTTTGAAACACTTCCTTTCCATACTTGTCACAGGCTGTTATTAGGGAACATGCACAGGCTAACATCGATCAATGTCTCCGTTCTTAACTCTATGTATGTTGATGACTTGCTCGACAGTGCTGAGTCCACTTTTGCCGCAATCGAATTACGTCATGAGATTTCTTCCTTGCTGCAAAGTGCAGGTTTTCAAATTCGAAAGTGGATCTCAAATGTCCCAGAAGTCTTGAGAGATATACCTCCCAGTGATCGTGCTACATCTTTGTCATTTAAAGATGGAGATCTTCCGTCTGTGAAAACGTTAGGCATTTTATGGAACACGAATTCGGACAACTTTGGTTTTCATGTAGAGTCTCCACCGACTTCTATACTGACAAAGAGATTTGTTTCAAGAATTATCAGAATTAAAATCGATCCAAATTAATCGTTGCCTTACTAATAATAACTTGTCCTCTTCTGATAAAACCTTGCACACCTTTGTAGATGCTTCAGAAAAGGCGTATGCCGCAGCTTGTTATCCTTGTTGCCTCTAAAACTAGGGTAGCTCCCTTGAAATCCATTTCTATACCTATATTAGAGCTCTGTGGTGCTATTTTAGGCTTACATCTTGCCCAAACTATCAAAAAGGTTTTGAATATTAACTCCGTCACATATTGGTCGGACTCAAAAAATGTATTATTTTGGATTCGGGGAGAGTCAAGGTCTTATAAGCCATTTGTTTCGCATCGTGTTGGTGAAATCCACGAAAATTCTAACCCTGGAAATTGGCATTATGTTCCCACAAAACAAAATTCTTCTGATTTGGCAACACGTGGATTATCAGTAAGCGAATTGTCAGGTAGTAATCTCTGGTGGAACGGACAGGATTATTTGTTGCAAGACTGTTCTTCTTGGCCAGTTGACAAGAACTTTGTTCCCATTGAGGCCCTTGAGGAGATGTATAACACTGCTACTACACTACTGACCTCCACTGATTTTGGCATTTTGGACCCCAATAGATATTCTGACTGGCTCAGACATGTGCACAATTGTAGAAATCGTGAAAAACTTGGTGATTCCTTTCTTACCTCAAAGGAAATTGAAATTTCGGAAAATTATTGGTTTCAATGTGCTCAGCAAGATGTGTTTCAATCGGAATTGTGTGAGTTAAGAAAGGGTCGATGTGTCTCTTCTACCTCCAAATTATCAAATCTTAACCCATTCCTAGATGATAATAGTGTGCTTCGTGTAAAAGGGAGATTGGAAAATGCAAACCACCTGTCATATTGTGCAAGGTTTCCTATTATTTTACCACAAAAGCATCAAATAACTAATTTGTTAATTAATCATTATCACAAGTGTTTAAATCATGATAGTAGTGTGTCATTTGTGCTTTCGGAAATTCGCACTAAATTTTGGATCCTTCGTGCTCGGGCATTAGTGAAAAGTGTAAATCTAAAGTGTCCAATGTGTATTAAGCGCAGAAGGAAGCCTGCTGAACAGTTCATGGCTCCCCTTCCTCGCGTGCGTTTAGGCGAGCCTCTTCGAGCATTTGCGAGATTTGGATTAGATTTTTAAGGACCGTATTTAACATAACAAGGAAGAGGAAAGACCCGCACCAAGAGATATTTGTGTCTCTTCACGTGTCTCGCAACTCGCGCTGTGCATCTCGAGATGGCTTGGAGCATGGATACAGATAGCTTTTTATGTGCTCTTGACAGATTTGTGTCGCGAAGATCAAAACCACTGGAAATCGTATCGGACAATGGTTCGAATTTTGTGTGTGCCAATAGAGGAATTAAATGGAGGTTCAATCCACCACTTGTGCCTCATTTTGGTGGTGTTTGCGAAAGCATGATCAAGTCAGCAAAACGTGCTATTAAAGCTATTCTCCAAGATGCAGACATTTCGGATGAAGAACTCTTAACCGCGATCGTGGGTGCGGAAGGACTCTTAAATAGTCGTCCCTTATGTTACATTGGTGATAGTGCGGACGATGATCCAGTCCTTACCCCTAGTCACTTTTTATGTGGACAGCTCGGTAATGATTTAGCTCCGGAATTCGATGGTGCTAATTATGACCCTCGTAGACGCTGGCGTAGAATTCAGGACTTAATAGGACAATTTTGGCGTAGATGGATCCGTGAGTTTTTGCCAACACTCAATAAGCGTAATAAATGGAACACTCCTAGTTAAAATCTAGAGACCGGTGATGTTCCATAAATATTGTGGAATTACCTTACACTTCAGTTTCACGACCTACAATCATAGAGAATGTCTCTCGAGGACCATGTGACCCATTATGTCCAGAAACAGGCTATCAAAAACCAAATCTATCGTGTATACAGCCTTTCTAATGCGCATTTCGGTAACCTACTTATACCAGAAATGATAATCAGAACTTAGAAACAGACAATGACTCTCAGTGATTATGAGTCACCTTAGTGACCCACAAGCCCACAACAGGCCTTCAAACATGTGACTTCAGTATTATACCTCTACAGAGTTACTTCTATGGCCCACATGTCCAGCTACAGACCTTCAAACTTGTCGTGTATATAAGCCTAGTGATGCCAACCATTCCTATTTCAGCGTAATTCATGATTACGATATTACAGTCAAATTACAACTTTACAATTTGGGGGTAATTTCATAATGATATCCGACAATAGGCAGCCTTAAAATTAAAACTAATCGTAATCGTTTTTGATTCAATGAATGAATATTTATAAGGTCAAGCTTCTGTTTACCTTGCTACAAATAGTTTCAATTGCTGTTATCAAGACTTTAGTATCTATTCTGTTGTTAATATATTATTTAGAAAATCGCGACTACAATTTAAACCAATGGAATCCGTTTAAATCATTTGGTGCCCACGTTCTACTTTTTACTACCATAAAGATACTTGAATTACCTACCCTTGGCGCGAAATCATTTTGATTTGTCCGGCGATACTTTCCATTTGAAAGCCTTCAAATCATTGACAACCTGCTTAATATTTGTTTTTGAAAATAACAAAGCATCCTGGAAATGTTCGATTCACAGTGCTTTCACCTGTGTCGTGTTCTATCAATGAAATCATATTTAAGATGTCTGGAACAAGAAAAGAAACACACCTATCTCACCCATTCTCGTGAAAACACATGGCCCAAGTTTCGTCCATTTATATAACAATAAAAATTTCTGATTTCTGATTTTTTTACCAACCCTTTTTGGCCTGATGTCAAATCACAAAAATAACTATGAATATTTGGCCAGTGGTGAAGGACAAACTGAGAGATGCGGCTTTTGGAGAATAAGGGGACAAGTAAGAATTTCAAAACACCAAAATCCTAATGGAGGGGGATGGAGGTGGGGGGATTTAAATGTTTAGTACAGCATTCAAAGGTCCAATATTTATTGTCCAAACTATTTGTTTCGTTTTATTCAAAATACATTTTGTTTTGTATTACACATACAACAAAAAAATGTAATGTATTTCTCCGACATCGACGGTGACTCCTAGGGACTATGAGTCATCTCAGTGAGACACATGTCCAACAACAGTCTTTGAAACATGTGACTATATCATGTATATAAGCCAAATTTCTCACAATTTTTTTTAATAAAAATAACTTTAATGGGCAAAATGCAAAAATCAAAAATGTAAATTTAATGTTAAAAGTTTTCTAGGTATTTGATCAAGCAAGCAGTTTAAACTTCGAGATGAAAAAATGGTCCAAATCAGCAAATTTTTTAGCAAATGACATATTTTAAGTTTATGACTGAGTCCAGCATGCCATATTGATAATAATAATGATTATTTTAATTTCAGTTAAGGTAGTTCGAGATAAGGCAGGATATTTTGCTGAGCGCTTGTATTATTCAATGAAAGGAGCTGGAACTGATGATAGAACGTTAATCAGAATTGTTGTTACAAGGTGTGAAATAGATATGGTACAAATTAAACAAGAATTCCAGAGACGTTATGGTAAAACTCTTGAATCATTTGTAAGAGTAAGTACTATTTCTTTTTACAGACATGCAAACTGTCCCGACTTACAAAATATCTATGAATCTAATGAAATTACATGATTAAATATTGCAATAATTCTTGTAAAAAAATCTCTTTAAGTATAGTTTTTATACACCCACATGGAAATGTGGACGTATATTGCCTTCGCCCCTTAACTGCCTTCCACCATTTGTAGTTTATTTCTTCCCCTGATGAAGTCAAAACTTTTTTGACGAAACGTTGGGTATTAAAGGATGGTATTTGATGTCAAGTTTTATTATTTATTACACCAAGTTCAGTATACATCAAATGAATCGCTGTACTACTAGTGGTATTGGTGATCCCATTAAAAAGTCTTCTGTGATTGGTAATTGCTGCCTGTTTTTTCTTTTTGGAATCACCACACATTATGGGGGCGTATATATTCGTCGCCCCGTCCCGTCCCGTCCACAATTGTTTGTGGACATGATAGAGAGCTGGTTTCTTGATGGATTTTGACGAAACTTGGTGTGAGTGTTTGTAATCACCCAAGGATGAACCCTATTGAAAATCAGACAAATCGAAAAATATTTACTAAGAGTTATTGCCCTTGTTCTTGAATTGTTTGTGGACACGAAAGAGAGCTGGTTTCTTGATGGATTTTGACGAAACTTGGTGTGAGTGTCTGTAATCACCCAAGGATGAACCCTATTGAAAATCAGACGAATCGAAAAATATTTACTATGGGTTATTGCCCTTGTTGTTGAATTGTAAACTGTAAAGAAAACCCATGAAATATGAAAATTTCACTCTCAGAAACATTCATTTACTCATATTTATTCATAACTCTTGTCAAACTCCCAGACAAATTAGCTGCCATAACATATGTGGGCGTATTACGATGGCATCCCTATTCTTATTTATATTGGTGAGATCTTGGTCAAGTTCGAATTTTCAACAATTTCCGTCTTAACAATTTTTTGCCCTTGATATTAGAGCTGTGTGATTTAATAATTTGATAAATTTGGGTTATTGATATTGATTTTACAATGGAACAAAGGCTTCTGGGATTGCGCATTTCCAAATAAGGCTATGCAATGAGATATAAGAGCGGGAATTGTCTTATGCCAGATAATTGACTTCAACTGAACTTGAAAATATCTAACAAATCAAAATTAATAAATGCACTTAGGCCATACCAAAATGATTTTCTGTTCTTCGGGATTTCTTGAAAAGAAAAAAGGTACGAGCAAACGAAATTTTTTTTTTAAATTTTAAAAAAAAAATGTCTAAAAGTTAATAATCATTGATTTGGTTGGTGCGATATAATATTTTTTAATTTTAAAAAAAAAAAAAGTCCCTTCGTACCATTAAAATTTTCCAGCATGGATGATTTTGAATGTATTCAGATAAAATAACAATTAATAGTATTTATTTATGGTGTAAAGGCTTCAAAACATTTTGGTATGGCACAACTAGCTGTTTTAAATTTGTCATGGTGCGTATCGACATACCACAAAAAATTTGTAATCTTCCACAAAATTGCTTTTGCACAGATTAACTGGTCTTTTGACCAGCCATCATCAATTGTTTTGCACCAATCTAGCACATCACAAAATAGTTTTTGAGGTCCAGTTAAGGTTTTGTCCAAGACTGGTGGTGTAGGTATTTCAGGAAACATTAATGTCTTTCTTGATGCCATCATAAAATCGAACACATTTTTATCACTTTTGGAAGTATTACAAACAGGTTCTTCAGACGAAGAATGAGAAGGCAAGTTAATTAAAAAGTCCACAAACTTGGATTTCAGTTCATCACACAGAGAAATTTTCAACGAAAGTGTAACCAAGACACCGCCTGATTTTTTCATATTGTCCTTGATGTACACTTTTTCTGGGATCTGTGATATGCACGATTGAATTCCTGCAGATGCCAGATCATAAACATCTTTAAAATTGTTTTCAGACTCAACATCAAACGCATGTATGGCAAAATAAGTTTCTGGTGTGACTTAATTTTGATTACTAAAATCATTTTGGTAAAAAAGACAAATACAAATATTAATTCTAGCACTGCATCGGCCATGCCTATTTCTGATAATTATCAACTTCCGGAATTTCGATGCGTTCGGTCGTCGAGAAAACGTTCTTGCTTCAGCGAAGGGCCTAAACTACTGTACGAACTCACTCTTTCAACAGCTAGAACATGTTCTACTATAATTGTCGCACGATGTCCACAAACTGACAAACGGAAATAGAGGGCGCAATTTGTTACTCCCGCTACCAAATTTTAGGCTTAGAGAAATAAAAATGAAACTAAAAATGAGAGCTAAACAATCATGTTATCTGATCAATTTAGAGGTACGAACATACGGGCAATATAATCTTTTTTCAAAATTTTACATACGGGAGCTCTTTTGATACATACGGAATATTATTTTTTAATTTTAGAAATAAAATTTCGATAACGGAAAATCGGGTACGGAATTCTTGACGAACAGAATATTATTTTGGTATGGCCTTATGGTAAGGAGACAAATTCAAACAGAAAAATTTAATGCGTATTATTCACTAAAACTTCAACAAAGTGAGTATGTATCAGAATCATTTGCTTCTAATAGACACAGGGGCCTTGGTGGCTCAGTGAGGTAGAGGCTCGCTAACCTGAAGGTCTAGGGTTCAATTCTGCCATATGTTGAATAAATATCATTGAATTTTTCAACCCGATTTCCCCTTGTCAGTGATGCATGTAAGAGTGACTGACATGGAAAAGCATTTAGTCGTTAGGATGGGACAATAAACCGAGGCAGAAAAACTGGTGCAGAAAAGTAGGATGTAAAACATTTCTAATAAACACAGTTTACTAATAGGTCTAATCCATTAGAACCGGATAAATGTCAATCACAAATCCTAATAAAGAACTAGTTTTTGTCATCAATAGAGTCGTTTTTACACAATTTCGCTTTAGATGAAGCCATTTTTTGCACTTGTAATGAATGAAGATATTCTTGTAACCATCTTTTCTAATAATGGTTTGTTAATAACTGAATTTTCTTCCATCTCTTTCTAGTAAATTTGTCCTTTTCATAAACAATTTCGAGAGGATCTAAAGTAGTTCAAGATGTTCAAAAAATGATAGGAGTCAATACATTAAAATCTGTAGGATCGGATGGAGTCAATGGCCAAGAATTAGCACTTTGGAAAATATTGTTAGAAGGATTTCATTGCATAAAACTGTTTCTAAACTTCGTTTAACTGTTTTCGCTAGACATTCCCTTAACTATTTTCACTAGAGATTCCCATACTCCGGATGCATGTGATGCGGAAGGAGATTGAAATGTCCATTTCCACTCACGCGCATTAAATATTTTTTCTAGTCTAATTTTTCTAATCCTTTCCTTATTCAGCTCCAATGAAATTGCCTCTATTGTTGATATGTGCCTTTTAGAGTGTTTACGTGCTAAAAATTGAATGCATTTACAAGGAAAGAACAAGGAAAATAACTCATACTAAATCTTTTTTTTTTATTTTTCTGATTTTTCGATATGGTTCATCATGGGTGATAGCAAACATTTACACCAAGTTTCGTAAAAATCTGTCAATAAATTGAACCTTCTAAAGTGTTAAAGAGCATTTCAAGAACAAGGGCATTAACTCAAACTAAATATTGTTCGAGTCTTCTAATTTTCGATTGGTTTATAACAAACATTGACACAAAGTTTTCGTCAAAATCTGGCAAGAATTGTGCCTCTAGAGTGAATGCATTTTCAAGAACAGGGGCAATAACTCGTACTTATTATTTTTCGATTTTTCTGATTTTCAATAGAATTCATCCTTGGGTTATTGTGCTTTCTAAAAATTGAATGCATTTTAAAGAGCAAGGGCAATAACTCTTACTAATTATTTTTCGATTTTTCTGATTTTCAATATGGTTCATCCGTGGGTGATAACTAACTCACACCAAGTTCCAGCCAAATCTGGCAAGATTTCTGGAGTGTTTACGAGCTAAAAATTGAAGGCATTTTCAAGAACAAGAGCATTAACTCATACTCTATATTTTTTTTGATTTTCTGATATGGTTCATCCTTGGGTGATAACAAACGTGGTCATGGCAGTGGTCATTCTTGATACACAAGGTGATAATGAACAAAATAATTCATTCAGTTATCTCCAATTGCGTAGCGAGAAATTTGAGCATGGGCATGAAACTGCTAAAATTTTGCGATTTTCAAGTGAAAATAGAGCAAATATTTTGGTAGGACATGGCAGCTGTATATTCTCCACTTGGCAGTACTTCCACATATCTAATATCTAATTTTTGGTAAGATTTGACACAGATTGGCGAATGTCTTTGATTTATCATCGCTTGTTTTCTAAGAAGGAAACATGCCACATGTTGCTGTTTTCTAGTCAAATTTGTGGTCCATTTTTTGTTAAATGTAAATTGGCATCAATTTGACCAACTGAAACGATGGATAATGTCATTTTTTTCTATTTATCAGCACTATTTCTGATCTGAACTTTCTCACATTTTTTGTTTATTACTTCGTGCTAATGACTAAAAGATAGCAATTTAAAAATAGTGGACCACAGCCATATACGCCCACCACAACATGCGGATGGTAAATATAGATTTTGGGGCAAGGGCAATAACTCTAACGATCGAAAATAGCTCAAAATCGAACTTGATCTTCCTTTTATGAATATGTCTACACATACCGAATTTCATTTGATTCCATCAAAAAATCTAGGGCGTTTTAGAACGTTTACAAGCAAACGTTGACGGATGGATGGACCGACTGACCTTCGTTTCATGAATATCTATGCACATACCGAATTTCATTTGATTCCATCAAAAAATCTAAAGCATTTTAGAGCGTTTACAAGCAAATGTTGACGGAAGGACCGACAGACCTTCGTTTCATGAATATGTATGCACATACCGAATTTCATTTGATTCCTTCAAAGACTCTAGTTTTTAGAGTGTTTACGAGCAATTGATGTAGATAGAACCACTTACTGTATAGAGGTTAAAGGGCGATAATTCCTCAAAATTGATGTAAGAGGCCTAAATCTTGAAAAAGCCTTGAATTTAATCAGAA